GCCTGTAAGTCCTGCTGAACTGCAGCAAAGAAAAATCAGATCTCCCACCCTGCCGGAGAGGTTTGTGCTTTGTGGCAGAGTTGCATACATTTCAGAACTGGAAGGACAGGAATACAAATTCTTTGACAGCTAGAACAGTTCCCTTATGTGTATTACATCTGTGTATTCAGCTGTTTGCCTGGAGTTTAGCTTTATGTTATGACCATTGGGTTTTCTGTAAGATCCACATAAGTACTTGCACTGAAATTTAGAAACCATGCACCTGCATTGATTTGTACTGGTTGTATAAGGATGTGTTCACTGTTTAATCACACTGCAAGCAAAGATTGGCAATGTTCACTAAGCACACAGAGTCAGTGGGGTTGATTTACTGCCAAATAGGCTGGACACTGTTCAGCCGGGAGCCGCTATCTAATAGCGGGAGACTCCTAGAGCGTCCGGGAGAGTTGGGATGTCTGCATTTGCCTTTAGTAAATCAGCCCCTCTGGGCTGCTGACAGGCTGATGAGGACATTGTAGACCAACATTTGTGTGCAGCAGAGAATCTTACTTTTCTTTTTGCCTTAAGTTGCCCTTTAAGATGCATCCATTAGTCAGTAAAGCATCAGTAACAATTAAGACCTCATTCACGTGTGCTCGGAAATTAACTAATGATGAATGCCCATTAACGCGCCTATGGCTTCAAGACACGTTTAGGTATGTCTTTGACACGTTAATACATGTATGTCAAATGCCCTCTTTTTTGTTTGTCTTGAACTTTTTAAAAGGGGAAGTGATGTAGAGGAACTGGCTAGTACTGGTACTGGCTGTACAAACACTGCTTCTGACTGGTGCTAGGAATTTGGACCACATATGGATCAAACTGGACTAAACGTGGTCTGAACCTAAGCTCCTCTGCACAAGGAAATGCCATGGGCACTCTTCCACCCAATCAACTGCAGGCAGAGCATTTGCCTTGTATAGTATAGTATAGTATAGTATAGTATAGTATAGTCTTATATAACCTTATATAGTCACACATTCATTTACCAAATATAGGTATGTGGGCTTATAAGGTCAATTACATCACTGTACACCACCCCTTTGCTTAAGTTAAGCTGCAGATGGGACTTCCCTGCCTGCAGCTGATTGGGCAGCACAGATGGAGCTTCCTTCGGTGTTTAGGAGGAGCTCCTTCCGGGTTAGGTCGAAACCTGGGTTCATCCCTAGCTGGCACTGGATGGTGCTGGGACAGTACAAAACAGAAAGGAAGTGGCTACTGGAGTTGCTCTATGCTCTCCTCTATCATTTTCAGTGGTTTCTAAGACATTAGGAACCTCCACTGCTTTTCCCCTTGTGGACTCTTCAGAAACACTGGTCAAACGCAGCGTAACTGCTATAGGTGCGTTAAGATACGTTACCATTCACATGAATGGAGGTGGTTGCCAAGCAGCGGAGCCTCCTGCACACAACATGCTGTATAATTTTTGCTGCACTTCAAAATGATGTGTGTACTGCACTGTCTGCTGACCATTAAACAATCTCTCAGTTGCATTGGTAGGCGATTGGGGAGCTTTAAAAACACGGGTCCACCTCTTTGCTCTGCCGCATGTGTGAATGAGGCCTACCACATTTGTTCATTATTTAAACCAACTGTATCTGAGATTAAATATATGCACCCAGGTGGCAGTAAAAACAGCCACACTCAGATAAAGCTATTCACACCAATACTAGTGAGTATGACGCCTTCCATTGCCTAGAGTAAGAAGAAATTGCAGTCTAACATTGCCATAGACAGCTTGACAAGTCTAAGGTTTCACTCACACCACTGTATGGGACACATATCAAAGGGAACATGTCACAAATCTAAACACCTGTCTCAACTTCCAGAGCAGTTAAGCTGGGCCTAATAATTTCACAGCATAGGATATCACTACTTCAGAGCTGGTGTGTGGCCTGCAAGTTCGAGATTTGCAGCTTACAGCAGGAGCTACTAAGATAGAAATTTAGCTTTAAAGTTTTTTTTCTGTCTGCGTCCTGTTGTAGAGATTTCCCTTCTTTATCTGTCCAGGATACTTAACAGGACATGAGGAAATTTTAGATAGTTGTCATTGAAACAGATGTCCTCATTTAAGGATTTCTCCTGCTCCAGCGCAAAGGGTAAACAATTGTTTTTTCCCGTCATTTTTCTCTTCCAACGATAATGATGGCAAGGACAAATCGGCAGGATCAATCACCCCCAGCAATAAAAACCTGGTTCTCACTCTATTTGAAATGAAAAAAAAAAAAGACAACAAAATGTGTCTATGGACCCACTTTAAAGCTAAATTCACACTTTTTGTTAAATTAATGGGAACAGCTCAAAATGAATGTCAACATGCGTTTTATTGTGAGGTAAGACACATGTCAAGGTGTGACACGACACACGTCAACACGTATAATGGCTCACTGATGTCAGCAGGTGTCCTGTGTATTAAAAGCTCAGGTCACAAAACCCAAACTTTAAAACATGAGGGCCAATGTGAATTTAAAAAAAAACAGCTATAAACTGTTTGCTATGGAATGGATTGTGGGCACTGCACAAATTCCATCTGCTTATGTACTTTCAATCCTCTAATGATTCTAATAACTTAGCGATTTGTTTAGCATACAGAATCTTGGCAATAAAACAAAAAGTGTGCCCATGTCACTAAGTGCACTTGCCATGTAACAATAATCTACCCCAGGGGACTGCAATCTGCTGGCTAGTCCCAATACACTACCTTACTATAAATGTTAAGAGCAAAATGTCCTTACTTGTTCTTTGGATGTTGTCATATCCTGTAAGACCATAGGTTCTACAGGCAAGAACATCAATGAACACTAAATGTAATAAATACCTGCATACCTACAATTTTTTTTTCACTTTCACCTTTTTTACACCCTAGTAATCCTTGTTCAGTACTTTAAGTTTAGAAATGATAGGACAGAGACCCTGATTCATCAAGGTACAGTACCATAAAAGCATGCTAAAAAGCGCTTTAAAGGCTAGTTCCACCTTTGTGACTGCAAGTCCCTTCTGTCATTACAGCACAGAGACTCGTAGGTATCAATAGAGAACAAGGGTGCTGACTTCACAGCACTAGTCTATTGATTGCTTCCTCCATAACCGAAGGTCAGACCTGGGTCTGGAGGAAGAGTCTACAGGAGAGTCTGTGGTCCACAGTTGCAATGCCTTGCAAACTCCAATGCAAATAATTTATAAATGCTCATGTTTTCTTTCATCAACGTGGGTGCGCTTATTAACTTTTTGCAAAAAGTAGATAAGCCTTTAAAGCATTAGCATTATTACAACATGCCTTAAGGTATAGAGATGAATTAGGGCCAACGAGTAGGTTGCTGATAGGTCAGTTTACAGTGCAGTAAACACAATCCAGTTAATATAAATAGGTCTAGTGGTGAGAATTTGGCAGGGGCCCCGATTCTGTTGGCCTACTTATCAAATTTAAAAGTATGTTAAAGGTAGGTCAGCAGGCTCCCACTGACATCAATGAAGTAGTGTAGATTACAGTACAGAGACTTTCTTCATTTGCAGCAGGTCCTATTGAGGTGTGTTTGGATTGCAGGAAAAGCAGGTGAAATTCAGCCTTTTCTTTTCAAATGCTGCATTTTGCATGGAAATGGCTGTTTGAGATGAACACCCATCGACTCATAATGTACACAACGCAGTTCAGAAATATGTGCAAACATAGAGTTCAAGTATACTAAAGAACTCTACCACTTTTGCTTTCCCAATTGTGGGTGAAATAGCCCTCCACTATTCAGCTGAGCTTCCATTGTCACCAGGTTAGCCTGGTTCTCCATACTCTATATTCCTGTGGAGACCACACTAGAGGATGCAGAACACAGAAAATGTCAACAGGTGACGCTGGCAAGTCAGCTAAAATGCAGAGATCAGCAATCATATGTGAAGTGGGTGGCTGGTGGATGTCTCTCAGCTCAGGTTTATTGTGTACTGAACATGATTATCATAAAGATAAACTGACTGCAGTTTTTTTAGGTGACCACTGCATGGCAAGCAACGCCTACACTGTGATCACCTGCATAAATACTAATAATAACATTCCATGTACACAAATTAAAAGTACATCTAAAACCAAACCTTTTTTCATTATGGATGTAGTAAAAAGTTACATTTTGGCTGTAGGTGCACTTTAAAAGACTAGTTAGCCTAAAATAAAACTTATTTTACCTATAAGAATTGATACCATTAACACATTTGTAAAAGTATCCATCTGTTTGGTAGCAGGAATAGTAGCAATGGTTGCTAGTAGTGTTGGGCCTGAGCTTGGAGTGAACCAACTCGCCCAAGCCCATACAAAACTGTGATTGCCACCCCCTCCTCCCATCCTAATCAGGGGGTTGCTCCTGTTGCAGCTGTCGCCACTGACCTTGCTGAGAGGGAGGAGCAGCAGCCGGAGTTTTGAGCAAGCTTGGGCAAACTCTGGTGAACTGGGGTTTTGTGTTTTAATTTACCAGTTTGACCATAATTCTACCTTAAAGATGGCTGGAGGCATTTATAAAACCCATACAGGCTGAAAATTAGGCAATTTCTGTTCTTTACAAAAATACACAAATTTGCTAGTTAGACAACAGTGAAAAATATCCAACTATGTTTCAAAAAATGACCACATTAGATGAAAATATAGAGAACAGAAAAGACTTTGTTTTTAGTGTGCAAAAACCATATGTATGCCCCCCTATAGATTTAAAAGGGGAGCAGTTTCTAAAAAGTGAAGTGAAAGTTCTCCATTGCTAGAGCAATCAGATCCCGGGAGTCACTTAGGAGATCCTGAGTGTTTAAAGCAATGCAGAAGCTTCTGGGCCCTCCACTTTTGATGAACCTGCCTCAGTGGTTCTTGCGTAAGCAATTTCAGGAATGAGAAGCAGTGTAATATCTGTGGGCCCTGCAAAGGGTTAAGTAAATTATAATTAGCCCCCAGACAGCAAGACTCCAGAGAAAGAGATAAGGCAAGCCCTTACCATGGCAGCTGCGGCTGTTTGGTTCACCTGGTGCTGAGCTGCCTTTATTTTGGCTTGCAGGTGTGCAGGGGGGTGAAAGTACTTGCATTTCTCCCTAGAGCATCTGCCTTTGATGTAATCCATGCAAACTGTTACAGTGTTCTCGTTGGTGTCGATCATGGCAATATCTATTGGGTGCGCATAGCGGCAGTCATTTTCACCTCGGGTGCAGTTCCCCCGCTGAAATTCTCTGCAAACCTGCACAGGAGGAAAAAAAAAGAAATTAAATGATAACATGAAATCTGCATTTTGTTCCACAAAGTACATTTGACAGATCACAATCATTGTTACAGTTAAACATGTAGATATTAAGGTAACAGGATCTCCACTACTACCAAGTTATTTTTAGCCTTTTAAAACGGAATGTCAGGCAGCAATACATACACTATATTACCAAAAGTATTGGGACACCTGCCTTTACACACACATGAACTTTAATGGCACCCCAGTCTTAGTCCGTAGGGTTCAATATTGAGTTGGCCCGCCATTTGCAGCTATAACAGCTTCAACTCTTTTAGGAAGGCTGTCCACAAGGTTTAGGAGTGTGTCTATGGAAATGTTTGACCATTCTTCCAGAAGCGCATTTGTGAGGTCAGGTACTGATGTTGGACGAGAAGGCCTGGCTCGCAGTCTTCGCTCTAATTCATCCCAAAGGTGTTCTATCGGATTGAGGTCAGGACTCTGTGCAGGCCAGTCATGTTCCTTCACCCCAAACTCGCTCATCCATGTCTTTATGGACCTTGCTGTGGAACAGGTAGGGACCACCCCCAAACTGTTCCCACAAAGTTGAAAGCATGAAATTGTCCAAAATATCTTGGTATGCTGATACCTTAAGAGTTCCCTTCACTGGAATTAAGGGGCCAAGCCCAACCCCTGAAAAACAACCCTACACCATAATCCCCCCTCCACCAAACTTTACACATGCACACAATGCAGTCAGGCAAGTAACGTTCTCCTGGCAACCGCCAAACCCAGACACGTCCATCAGATTACCAGACAGAGAAGCGCAATTCGTCACTCCAGAGAATACGTCTCCACTTCTCTAGAGTCCAGTGGCGGCGTGCTTTACACCACGGCACCCGACGCTTTGCATTGCACTTGGTGATGTAAGGCATGGATGCAGCTGCTCAGTCATGGAAACCCATTCCATGAAGCTCTCTGTGCACTGTTGTTGTGCCAATCTGAAGGCCACACGAAGTTTGAAGGTCTGTAGCTATTGACTCTGCAGACAGTTGGCGACTTTTGTGCACTTCAGCATATGCTGACCCCGCTCTGTCATTTTACGTGGCCTACCACTTAGTGGCTGAGTTGCTGTTGTTCCCAGTTGCTTCCACTTTAAGGTCGCGTTCCTCTGCTCTAGAGGCTGTGTGCCTCTTCCTGTGGTCTATTTCTGTCTGTGCCCCTTATTATTTTTCATCATACACAATGGAGGGGAATTTATCATAGCAATTGCGACTTGCATATAGTCACATATATATATGTGGGATATATTTCCGCCAGACTTATGTTGCTAGTGTAATGTTGTTCATAAATGAGGTTAAATCGACTGCAGGAAAGAAGACTCGCAACTCCAGGCAAAAAGCTTAACTGTCGCTTTTTGAAGAAGTGGTCATGGGGACTTCTTAAGTACCAATTGTTTTGTTGATGCTCCAGTTTCAGACAGCCGCAGTACATGTGCAGATGCAAACAGTTGTGACCTTTAGCGAACATGTGCAAAATATGCGCAAATCAGAAAAATAGTGCAAATCTGGTCAAAACAGGTGCACATATTAAAAGGAGCGGCTAAACAGATTTGCACATACATTTTTTTTTTATCTAAGAGGCTAAAATTGTTGCAATTGCTTTGATAAATTCCGCCTAATATGTTTTCATGAATTGTGATGTCCTTCCTAGGACTGTAATATTTATCAGTCGCAAAACCAACACAAACAAAGAAAACGTTTTATGTTTTTTGTTTTACATTTTTGTTTTTTTTTGTTATGGTGTCTCGCAGAGCACAAAATGTTTTAGTGCTGTGAAATAGCAATGAGTTTTAAGCCTAAAGTGATTTGCCAAGCGCTTTATAAGACATTTTTTATTTTCCTTCCTTTTAACATGGGAACAAAATGTCCTGGAATCTGCAAGGCAGAGAATCTGCAACCTTTTCACCGAACACGCTCAACACACTTATAAGCCCCAATTTGTTCTCTGTGCCCATAGTGAGTTATTGCGTTTTGCCTGGGTAGAGAGGTCACATAACAAATATAAAGTTAACATATACTAAGGCAAATGTTACATTTTCTACAATAAAGTCTGACTACAAAGCAAGAGCAGCAGATGATTTGAGATGAATTTGGGGGCTTGTTTAGAATGCAGTAGTAATGGCTCCTGTAAGATCAAGTCCACTACAGGCAACATCCCGCTTCTATGCAATATAAACATAGTCTACACTACTGCAAAAAAATGTACACTGATCCAACACCCCCATAATGCTCTGTAAATTTGTACAACATTTGGGAGATGATTTGTAACCTTCAGGATAACAGCAGTTTATACTTTAAAGTAAACCTGGCTGAATCAGTGAACAAGAAAGTCATTAGACTAGCGTGTCAACCAGTCGAATAGCATTTTTGGGAGGGCAGCAATGGCAATTTACATGTTACTCCAAAGTTTTCTTTAAAGTTTAATTTCAGGGAAAGCAATTATTGTCTAAATACAAGAGGCATGTGTATTCTTACTTGAATCTTGATGTGCTTTGTGTATTTCTTCCAAATTTGTGCAATAATCTAATGTAAAACTTTGCCTCAGTGTAGGAGCTTTCTGTAATGAAGACCAGTCTCTGCTACACTCTCTCCTTGTGCAGGGTGACTGGTCTTGTATCTGCCCCTTCTTGTTCTCTGCAGGCAGCCTATAGTGGGTGGGCCTGCTGGGTCCCTCCCACATCTCTGCTCCCTGCACATGCTATAGAGCAGCGGTCGCCAACCTTTGGGATCTCATGGACCACTAAATTCATAATTGTAAATCCTGCGGACCACTAATATGAATCTTTTAAAAATGCATATATATAAAAATATGAGCATATATCTATATATACACACATAAGGTATATATACACATACATACATATGTGCTGGTGTGCCTGCAGGGGTGGGAGTGCTGCTGGAGGAAGGGAGCGGTGGCGCACGCCCCGGCCTAGTAATATTAATTGTTTCCCCCCTATCGAATCTGCCACTGGCCCTACCGGCGGCACCCGGGGCACATGCCCCCCCCCTAACTTTCGACCCCCCCCCCCAAACCCCCCTTCCTCCAAGTCTGGGTCCTGACGAGATGCCCCGCCTCCTGCAGAGCCCGCACTGTACAAGATGCCCCGCCTCCTGCAGAGCCCGCATTGTACTGAGCCCAGCATTCCTTGTGACAGCCCCTGCTTGAGTCAGTGAGAGGCAGCCCCGGAGCCTCCGTGCCGCTTCAATGACGGCCCAGCCTACACGGCATCAGAGGGGCCCGGGGACCACCAAAATTTTCTCACGGACCACCGGTTGGCGACCGCAGCTATAGAGCACAGAGATGATGTTACTGGTAATATCTGGGAAAGTAAAGTCATTTGGTGCACAAAAAATAGATTTATATCCTTTGTGGCTATCAAGCAATATATTTCATTAAAAGGTTTTTGTGCCTGGAGTTCAGCTTTAAAGCATAAGTGTACCATTGGGATAAAAATGAAAATAACGGATTTAAATTGGCCCTGTATGCATGCATGTGAGAGAGGGACCTTAGATTGTAAACTCCTTGAGGGCAGGGACTGATGTGAATGTGCACACTGCGTAAACATATATAAATACCTATAATAAATAAATAAAATAAATAATATTTTCCCCTTCCTTCCTACCCCACACATTCTCAGTATGTGGCAGTCTTAAAGCCGAGCTAAACTTCGCTGCATGGGGGGTGGCTGTTGTCATAATGTGCAATTATGTCCTCTCTCGCAGGGTTCTCGCAGGCATCATGTCAGTGTTTCAGTATAGTGTGCAGATCTTACAGCACCTTCTCAGGTCAAATATAATTTCCCAGTACATGTTTACACTGCCTGAAGTTCACTTTTAGTGTCAAAAATTACAGTTTTAAGTTTTGAACATATATCAATCTTCTACAGCCATTACATAAATGACATTTGAGGAAAAGAAGGAAAATGGATAAATAATTTTGTATTGATTTTCATTTATTTTCCCATCATTTCCTACAAGACAGTCATTTACCACTTTTATTTCATTAAATGTCAACTAATAACACAGGCCTTCCTCTGCCTGGCTTCTGGGAGACATTAAAGGGAATAGAATTCAGTGGCTGTGAAAATGTCATGCACAAGGTTGTTAGTCTGGCTCTGGAGCAGACTGGTTGTAATGCCTTACAGTCCTGAAATGTGATTTTGCCATATGCTTTGTTTCAGAAGAAGCATCATACTCCTGATCAGCATTATGCTACAGTTTAATCAAAAATTAAAAGAGTAAAGCCAAACCTTTTTTTTGGGGCTTCTGTTTTGATCACATTAACTAATGTACTTTTGGAACGCAAAGTTAGCAAATAGCGAGCTACTGCCCCCCTATCTTCTGACAGCGCAGAGCCGCGCTAAGTTTGAAAGGAATGCCAAAAATATTATTGGGATCTACTCCGGCTGCCTAGGTGACAGCTGGTTCTGCCTCCCTAGAGCCAGAGCCAACGATACCCACCTCCTTCCCTGTCCACCCCTCCAATAAGCGCTGGAGGTGCAGAGAGGGGAGGGGAAAATTCTGCTGTCTGCAGGTAGAAGAGACCGAAAGCTGGCTGATCAGCAGTTACATGATCATTAGGCTCCCAGTATAGAGCAAATGTGGAGTGTCACATGCCAGCTCTAAGGAGTGGGGAGAGTATGTTTTACTCTCCCTGTACTTTTCCTGTTTACCTTCAGACTCTGATTAAAACTCCATATGGCAAGTCTACACAGGCTGGCATGGAAGGGCATAACTCACTTCTCCAACTCATTCACTTGTTTTCGTAAATTAAAGCTTAAGCTTTTGAGCTCTGTAAACACATTTTGTGCAGGACTGAAGGTAAGACTAACCTGGCAAACAGACGAAAAGGAGCCCAGAGCCCCACCTGCTGGCTGTAAATGTAAGTATGAAATATTAATATTCAATATTTCATATTTACCCATCTAAAAAAAAAGTTAAACTTTTTTCTGGATGAAGAAAATGAAAGAAACAAAGAACAAAAGAAAAAAATTAAAGAAAGAAAGAAAACTCAAAAGAACACAATACATTTAATCCAGTAAGATATTTACTAACAAATCATTTTATGTATTTTAAAAAACTTACTAGTAAACAAAAACAAAACAGGAGCAGGCTCGATGGACCACTTGGTCTTTTTCTGCTGTCTATGTTTCTATATTCTTGAATGTGTCTTTATATTAACTGAAGGTAATCTCCTGTAGAACAGTACTGGGAGGAACAGGGTAAGTACTCTGATCTGAGCTCTAGTGCTTAGCTCAGTGATGTGAGTCCAAAGTTGGGTACACACTGTTTGAATTTCATCTGGTTCCTGATTTCGTCCGGCTGCTGTCGGCACCCTTCTGCCCGACATCCCTTGATCAGCTGATCGAAGGAGTCAGTTGGAAAATTCTCGGCTGAACTTCTAGTTCCATTCGGGTGTACTGACAGTGGCCACCGGCCACTTTAAGAATACAATGCAAACAGCAGGGGAATTATCCATCAACACTTGTAAGCGTTGATGGAGGAATCTGTTCTATTTCTTTCGTTCAGCCCACAGGTTAAAATTTAAAAAATTTGAACCGTGTATACCCCACTCAACACTGTTAAAAGACTTACAGGAGAGGAGAGCACAGTGATGATTTCATCAAGTGAATTTCATTGTCCACACAGCACACTGGGGGAGAAAAGGTAACATAACATAGGGCTCATACACATCTGCTGACCGCAATGCATGGTAGGTACGTTGGGGTGGCATTCAGAATGAATAGCACCACAGTGCACCAACACCTATAACATGCATTACAGTAATGTACATGTTACCACAACACATCAATATGGATCTGGCCTAAGGATGCTTTCTCATGAAATGGAAGTTGCACAATCTGATTCTACTCTGTGGCCTGGGGTGGCCCCATGCCAGACAACTGGTCCTGGGAGGAACAGCTGATGGGGTATAAAATCTATCATTGATCACTATTTTTCTCTTCTGACTGGCACCAATTCCTGCACTCTCCCCTCTAGCTATGATTAGGACAATGGACAATGATTTCCTCAGGACAATCAGATTGTGTATGCATGATGGACCATGCACTGCAGTCTACAAAGAGAACTTCAACCATGCTTTTCTACATTTACCCATTACATGGGTGAGCACTATTACTGTAATTTCAGGGGGAGAATTGTGTTAATCTGTACACATGGAAGACACTTGCAGTTATGTGTAATGTGGTGCATTTAAATAGGCTACTGAGATTTTGATTTCTGCCTGGAATTTGGCTTTAATTACCACATCTACAGTAAGTGTAGAAATCTCACTTCAGGACTGTAATATTGTCTATAGGAAAACCAAGAAAAGTTCTGCACAAAACACACACAACTCTAAAAATGTCAATGTTTAAAAGAGAACTATGAGGTGAGTTCTTTTCACTCACCTCATAGTTCTAGCCTACCTGTGACAATGAGACTGTCACAGGTCTGCTCAATAGATCGAGAGCTGAGCGAACACATACCGGCGTTCGCTCACCTCTCGATCCTGTCACGGCTCTCTGCCGTGACAGGGGAGGGGTTGGATTTCCCCCTCCCCGCCAGTGCTGACTGGCGGAACAGACGGGGAAGGGGGCGGGAACAGCTGGCTCTGCCTCTAGATAGGCAGAGCCAGCTGTCAGTCATGCAGCTGGGCGGATCCCGGCACAATTGTCGGGATCCGCTTCAGCTGCGGCGTCTCAGTATACCGCGAGCTACAGCTCGCGGTATACTGAGCCTAGGGTGACGGGAGGACGCTAGTTTGTGTCCTCCCGTTACCCTAAGTAGAACTATGGGGAAAAGCCTTAACCCCATAGTTCTCCTTTAAATATTGATAATGCAGGAGAAAGTCTTCCCTGGCTCTCTAATCTAGATATCTAGCCTATTTAAAGTTTTACAGTGCAGTGTGACCATGGATAAAATTACCCACTGAGTTATGTAATTAGTCATTTCAAGAAATCAATTTAGGCTGCAGTAGGAAGCTATTTAAAGTCAATTTATATGCACAGAATGAGTTTCTATCTACAGCAGCAGTCCACCTACCTCAAGTTTGTCTGTGCGCATCAGTTTCTGACCAGCAGAGCCACCTGCAACTGTAACAGCTGGATTCCCCGAAACCAGGACAGGCGTATTTGGTAAGAGCTCGGCGGGAACCAGACCCATTCCTGGAGACATATGACTCAGGTATGGGCTAAAAGCCATGGATGGGCTTGTTGCAAGTGTTTGAGTCACAGGGAATGTGGTCTGTGTGGAGAAAACAAAGAAAAGGCAAAGACAGTATTAAAACAATTGCAGATGATAGTAGCATAATCTAATTAACTACTACTGCTATTCAGAAGACATTACAAATAACATAAACTAGACTAGAAGACTGCTCTGCTTTTTTTGCTCTACTTTAAAGCAGAGCTGCATATAAACTG